TGATTTTAGGTTAAGAAATGGGGATTTTAGGGGGAAATTTGGAGATTTTATGTCAAAATTTGGAGGTTTTCCATTGGGATTTGGAGCTGCGGGTGCCCAACCTCACCTGGGTGCCCGTGCAGACTGAGGAGGAGGTGAGCATCCCAAAATTTGGGGAAAACTCCAAAAAATTTGGTGAAAAAATGATGATTTTAGGTGAAAAAATGGCGATTTTAGGTGAAAAAATGGGGGTTTTACATGAAAAAAATGGGGATTTTAGGGCTGATTTTGGGGGTTAAAGGAGAAGAATCTGGAGCTGCAGGTGCCAAACCTCACCTGGGTGCCCGTGCAGACTGAGGAGGAGGTGAGGATCCTGGAATTTGGGGGAAATTCCAGAAAATTTGGGGATTTTAGGTGAAAAAATGGGGATTTTAGGGGGAAATTTGGAGATTTTCCATGGGAATATGGAAATGGAAAAGCGACGAGCTGCACGTGCCAAACCTCACCTGGGTGCCCGTGCAGACTGAGGAGGAGGTGAGCATCCCAAAATTTGGGGATTTGGGGCAAAAATTTGGGGATTTTAGGTGAAAAAATGACGATTTTAGGTGAAAAAACGGGGATTTTACATGAAAAAATGGGAATTTTACGGGGGGTTTTCGTTGGAATTGCCAAACCTCACCTGAGTGCCCGTGCAGACTGAGGAGGAGGTGAGCATCCCAAAATTTGGGGAAAATTCCAAAAAATTTGGGGATTTTAGGTGAAAAAATGACGATTTTAGGTGAAAAGACAGCGATTTTAGGTGAAAAAATGGGGATTTTAGGGGAAATTTGAGGCTGCACGTGCCAAATCTCACCTGGGTGCCCGTGCAGACTGAGGAGGAGGTGAGGATCCTGGAATTTGGGGAAAATTCCAGAAAATTTGGTGAAAAAATGATGATTTTAGGTGAAAAAATGACGATTTTAGGTGAAAAAATGGGGATTTTACGTGAAAAAACGGGGATTTTAGGGCTGATTTTGGGGGTTAAAGTAGCAGAATTTGGAGCTGCAGGTGCCCAACCTCACCTGGGTGCCCGTGCAGACTGAGGAGGAGGTGAGCATTGAGATTTTGGGAATTTTGGGTGAAAAAACGACAGTTTTGGGTGAAAAAATGGAGATTTTACGTGAAAAAACAGGGATTTTAGGGAGGGTTTTCATTGGAATTGCCAAACCTCACCTGGGTGCCCGTGCAGCCTGAGGAGGAGGACAGCATCCCAAAATTCCAAAAAAATTTGGGGATTTTGGGAATAAAAAATGGGCATTTTAGGTGAAAAAATGACGATTTTAGGTGAAAAAACGGGGATTTTACGTTAAAAATGGCGATTTTATATCAAAATTTGGAGATATTCCATGGGAGTATGGAGCCACAGGTGCCAAACCTCACCTGGGTGCCCGTGCAGAGCGAGGAGGAGGTGAGGATTTGGGGATTTGGGGATTTCAGGTGAAAATTTGGGGATTTTAGGTGAAAAAATGGGAATTTTACATGAAAAAATGGGGATTTTAGGGGGAAATTTGGAGATTTTCCATTGGGATTTGGAGCTGCAGGTGCCAAACCTCACCTGGGTGCCTGTGCAGAGCGAGGAGAAG